GAAGGAGAGTCAGCCCTGTGAGGTAGGCAGATCAGGAAACCGACTCCACAGAATGGCTGGAGCTCTATTGATTGATATTGACCTTAGTGACAGGCCCTTGAAAGACAGACTGTGTTTGCCCTCCCCTCCCTCTTAGGGTATGCTCTGGGGGGCACACCATCGTACCACAGATGAGCAGGATTTAAAAAGCCCCAAGCAGCCAAGCAATGAACGGCATTATCTAATAAAGACTGCTACGCCAAGGAATCCGGAAGCTGCCTCGTGCGCTCCTTCTCAGGAGGAGTCCCTTTCGGTTCATCGCAGCTAGAAGTTCTGGTCGCCTTCCTAAGCCCCATGGCTGTCAGGGCCAGCTGAGTTGTCAAGGGGGATGCTCGCCCAAAGGGGGGGGGGTGCTGGGTGGGGTGGGGAACGACAGCAATCTGGAAAGCTGGCCCCCGAGAATCCTGTGGACGGGGAACCCGGAGGGGCTCCACTCTTCCCAGCCCCTGTGGGTGGGCAGACACTGTTGGCAGCAGGCCACCCCATAGGTATGCAGGTGCCAGCCAGGGGGCCTTAAAGGTGGCAACCATTTGGCACCCAGAGTCAGTAGAGAACCGTTGCAGCTCTTGAGGTCGTGGGGACCCATCAGGGAACTGAGGCGCGCCCACGGCTGCTCGAACTGCTGCATTCTGGCCGGCTGCAGCTTCTGAGTGGCCTTCAAGGGCAGCCCCACATAGAGTGCGCTACACCAGTCTGAACGGGAGGGGAGTCTGGCCTGGTCAAGCTCGCTGGGTGGATTGCACCCACCTATGCCCAGCTGAGCTGCTCCGTCCTCTCCTCAGGTGAGGACACTCTGCTCTCCTGGACTAGTTGCCCCCTTCCCTGGCACACTGGGTGCTGGTCTCTGGTGCTGGCACTCAGCTGTGCCCGGGATCGGCTGAAGGCCCAGCACGAGCAGCTGCTGCAGGGCTTGTCAGAGCCGGCCTGCCCTGGAACATGCCCTCGTCATGCCACTGCTGTGGAGGAGTGGCTGTGGGAGCAGCAGGCGCAGCTGCAGCAAGAGTTGGCTGCCACCCAGCAGGCCAAGTGGGCGGTGCAAGGGGCTTTGCTGTGATTCTTCTCCTCCTGTGCCAGCTGGCAGCCTTCACACCCATCTTCCGACTGCCTTGGAGGCCCTGCTGCCAACAGAGCTGGCTCTGGAAACGGCTGACCTGCTCACCCAAGCCCTGTACCTTACCTTCCAGCTGGCATGGGCTCACCCTGTGCCCCTCCAGTGGGCATCAGCCCTGGGGAGGCTTCAGCTCAAGGAATGGTTCCCATAAAAGCCCAGCCCAGGGCCGTGAGGGACAGAGGGAGGCTGTTCATTCTGCCCCAAGAGGGACCCCAATGCAACCCTGGCGAGGCGGCTCCTCCAGGTGTGGGTAGAGCTTGCTCTGCCCTCCAGAAGGACCTTGTTGAATGCCTGCAGGCTGTTGTAGGGGGGGCTCTGAGGAGGCTGGCCAAAGGGGGAAGAGCAGCCCCGGAGACGGGCACAGTGTGCCTCAGTGGCGGTCTTGGGCACCAGAAAGTCAAGGCCTCGCAGGCAGCAGGATGGAGCCAGCCCAGACAGGCTCCCCACACCTGGAAGCGACTCTCTGCCTTAAAGCCTTGGAAGGCAGTTCCCCCCACCCTTGGCAACAGGGCACGGCCCCCCTGCAGGGGATCCAAGGCTGCCCACGGTGGCCATTTCCCAGCAGTGGGGGCCGCGGGGCAGCTCCTTCTCTGCCATGGGCTCCACACTGCCCCACCCAGCTCTGCACAAGGGGGTCCATTGCAAGCGCCCCTACAGAGAATTCCTGGTGGCTGATCAGGTGCCATTGTCAAAGGGGGCCTGCTGAGGACACCCCCAAGTAAGGGGGCAGGCAGCAGGCCTTCTCTGCGGTAGCCCCCTTGGCAGAGGCTTCTCTGCCCCAGCCTTCCTCGCGGTCCAAGCGGTCCATTGCTCCTGCGGCCTGAGCTCATTGGTGGCGCCATCCCAGGACAATCGCGGGGAACCCTGCAAATGGTTCTGCGACACTGTTGGTGATCTTTGTCCTGCTTTTGCATATCTGGCGGTTAATTTTTATCCCCGTTTGGTCGCTTGGTGCCCGTGAGGACTGAGGAAGGCTGCGCACTCCGAGAGACATACGTATGCCCTTGCGCAGTCCGCGCCCACAAAAACCACCTGCCGTCTACCATAGAAAGGGGCCCGCTAACCATAGAAGCGTGTGGGGTTCTAACACGCACACCAGGGGCAGGAAGCAATTTCTGGGATCCCAGGCAAACTGGAAAGGGGGGTGGGTGGAGGAAGGGACTCCCACCAGAGGACTCACTCAGCCCCACTTTGTAAGCAGCTCCCAAAGTTTTAGTCCCCACAAAGGCGGACGAGTCGTCAGGTCCTCTGTTATGTAGAGAAACAGCGCAAAGGAAGATTGATTCGTTTATTTTGGCCCTGCTTGTCTCTAGTAAAACTGAAGCAGGAGAAACTCTGCACTGGGCAATGCCTCGTTCTGCAGGGCACGGAAGTGCAGGGAAGCCCCTTCTTCACATCTGTCCTGCTCCCTGCCCAGGGCTGAAAGGTGCAGCTGGAGGTGGGGTTGGCAGGAAACCCAGAACGCGAGTGGGAAGGGACCCTGGAGGTCCTCTAGCCTAACCCCCAGCCCAGTCATGCGTAGAGCCCAGGCAGCGTTCCTGACAGATGACCCGCTGGCCTCAGTCTGATGGCCTCCGGCAAAGAAGCCCATGGAGCAGCTGGTTCCCTCACGTGGCCGGGGTGCCTGCCTCAAACCCTTTCCCCGCACCCTTCGCCCACTGGGTCTGACCAGGGCAGAGGAGAGGGGACCGGGCTCTGTGCTCCTTCAATTGGGCCCCCAAGACGGCCCTGGCCTTTTAAGCAGTGGCCTCGCACTGCAGAGTCACTTTAACTCCCCGACTGGCACCTCAGTCGCATTTCCTCCCCAGACGCACAGCTGGACATTTCTCCCTGTTCCTTCCATCCTGTTCCCTTCAGCTCCTCGCTCAAGCCCGGGCACGTCCTATGGGATCTTCTGCCTTCCTCGGAAGCAGCAGCCCCCGGCCAGTTCTACGCCCCCTCACCTCCCTTGTCCAAGCCACTGCTTTAGAGGCGGAGGCCCTCCCAGTGAGCTCGGCTGTCCCTTCTCCTCCTCCTCCAGCCTAAACTGCGGTCCCAGCTTTTCCCCCGCGCATGAAGCTGAGCAAGCTGGGAAAGGAGGTTCAGGTCCCAAGCAGTGGGAAGACCCGCTAGGTCCTGGAGGGCAGGGCGGGGGGACATCCTGGCCCAGAGAAGGCCAAGGGCCCAACCAATGAAGGGAGCGCCAGGCCCCCGGTTGGCACAGCTTGCCAGACCAGATAGCCCCCTCCCAGGCTGACTCCAGCAGAGGGAGTCAAGGATCCCTCAGATACCCAGGAAAAGAGCGCCGCTTCAAGATGGCTGGGTCCACCAAATGGCCATGGTGTGGGCCAGGCTGCTCGCAAAGAACGTCTCTCCGGCTCCTTCTGAAATGCTACATGACGGGTCTGACCCTGCAAAGGGAGCCATTCTCTTTCAGGACCAGCCTCCAGGACTGCTGCCTCCTCCTACTCCCCCGTTGCACACCCACCAGGTGCTCTATGCCCCCCCCTCAAGGCTTTGTGCACCTTTCCCGCAGCGGCTGCGCTTGCTGCAAAGTGAAACCTGGCAGGCGCTTCAGGAGGATTTGGGTCTGAGGAGGGTCCTGCACCCCTGGGAAAAATCAACGGGATGGAAGGGAGGGCAGCGCAGCGGGTGCTTGGGACCCCTCTAAAGTCCCCAGCAGGCACGCAGGACTGGTTTTCAGGTTGCATGATTGAGTTCAGGAAGTCAAGTCAAATTGATTCAAGAAATGATTTAAAGTAGGACAGTCCATTGGGAATATCAATTTCATTTCAATCAGAAACTCCTGAATTGCTGATTTGGCTCTGAAGTTTCATCTGGTTTGCCTTTATTCTGAATTGTTAGTCCAAGGTCAGAGTGGAATTTGACGATTCCCACAGGCTGCCTGGTGGGCCTTTGCACTGGGGTGGGCATAGGGGTTGTGTCCCCCCAACCTCCTCCAGACCACTCGGGGGTTCCAGTCCACCCGGGCCTCTTCCCCTTTCTTTCTTCCCTCTCGAGCACCCCCAACAGACAGCACGACTGGTATATCAGAGTTGCGCCTTTATTGAGGACTTCATCTTTATTCTGCCTCTCAGGGCAGTAAAACTGCCACCTTCCTTGCCGCCCCTCCCACCGCAAGGGAGAGGGAGAGGCTTCTACTGGGGCAGTACGGGGGGGCTGTGACTGCATCCCAGGGCACCCCCCCCCCGGCAGTTTTGGTATCAAGTTGTTTCAAAGTCACTTGGGTGGCTGATCCAACGGAGGCGTGGAGGGCTGCAGCGCCAGGGGAGGGGCGGCAAAGGCAGAGCACGAACCAGGGCCCAACCCAGGGGATGGGTGGGCGGAACTCCCCAGAGCAGAGAACGCTGTGGGAATTCCCTGGATCTGTTGTGGGCTGCCAGCCCCCCAGGCTGCGCTGCTCAAACAGAACTGGGTGCATGCATATGCACAGGGAGAATCAGACCACCAGCCTTCTGCGCCCAGTTCCCTCCCGTAATTTCCAGCCAGCACATCTGGAGACTGCTTGGGCAGGAAGTGTCAAGCGGAAGGAGCCTCTCCCAGGTGTCCTTTCGGATCACAGTTGGAGGTAGTAATGTTTAAGGGGGCTTGGGGTTAGAGGGACGAGGGTGACATGGCAGGTCCGGGTCTTGCTTCCTTTCTGCCAGGTGGTGGACGGATCAGCCACAGTGCCAGGAAGGACACCCTTCCTTCCCATCTTGAAACCCAAAGCAGAGGATTTCTCTTCTCCAGTCGTCCGCTTTCAGGCTTGGCAGCACTGAAGGCCAAAACGGACCAGAGAGATCATGTAGTCGAAGTCTTGCCCAGTGCAGGAGCCCAGCCCTGACCCCCTCTGGCGCCAGCCTGTCCACTCTTGAACAGCCTCCTGACGTTGAGTCAAATTGAGTTCCTTGCGGTTCGAATCCCTCGTTTCTTGACAGTCTTTTGGAGCAGCTCTGAGCCGCCTCCCGCACAATCACCTTCAGAAGCTCAAAGACACCCAGACGCTTCCCTTCCGGTATCTGCTGTGAGCCCAGGCACGGCAGCTGAATTCACATGAGACAGTAGACTAGCATAAAGGCCGGGGTGGTATGTGATCCAGCATTGTGTGAACAAGGCCATCATGTTAACCCGTAATTTTGTGTGCATAGCAGGTCATGTGCATGCAGGTACTGCGTGTGGTTAACTAGCTTTAAGCCTAGCCTGTTGCAGAAAGCCAGCCAGGACACAGGTTGCCTGAACTGGCAGCTGTGTCGCAAGTTGCTGGCAGCTGGGGGACACTGGCTCCCTTTTCTGGGGGAGGGCTGTCAGCTGCCGGGAAGAACGCTGCCTCCACATTGCCAGGCTTCAGCAGACCTGGAAGAACAGGGAGTACGCGATGCCCCCGGCCACCACTGCGGCACCGCCCCCTTGGATAGGGCCCGTCTTTCCAATTCTGTGCACCTGGGTCAGGTCTTTGGGGTGAGCACTGGAGGAGGCCCTAAAGCGAAGTCCCTGTCTTAGGAAGTCCCGTTAGTATTCCTAGCCTGCCAGAGGCAGCCATGAGTGCCGAAACACCCCGTGCCAAGGGTGGCACCCCTTGCAGACCTGCCATGCTGGCATTGCAACAGTGCCTGCAGAGACTTGCCCCCCCCCGTCAAAGGGGAGTTTCCTGCTTATAGTGATAGCCACAAGTGGGGCCCTCAAACTGCAACTTGATGGCTGCCTTAAGGTGCAGGTGGGGGGCCAGGGTGTCAATGGAGACCAGGGGGCTCCCCAGTTCCCCACTACGCTTGTCCTGAGCTATAGAGGGTGGAAACACCAAGAAGCCTGGCTGAGGAAGGTGGGTTGGGGAGTACTGCTTCATCTGCTGTGCCCCGGTGAGTGTGTCCACTGGAACTGTCTGGAAGGTGGCGAGTGAGTGGAATGTGGAAGGAGTGGCTGAAGAGCCACAGGAAGGCCGTGACTGGCGGGGCTCGCCGGTGGAATCCAGCGAGGCCGAGGGGGAGCGGCCTTGCTTGCCTTGGGGGCCAGGGCTGCTGGCCGAGCTGCTGGAGGAGCCCAGCTGGGGACAGACGGGCGCTGGCAAAGCCCCGTGACACTCCATCAGCTTAAGTACGGCCTGGTGGCCCTGCCTGGCTGCCATCCGCCTGGGGGTGCGCCCTGCCTTGTCCCGGACGTTGGGGCTGGCACCGTGCTCCAGCAAAACCCTCACCAAGTCAGCTCGGCCTTCCTGCGCAGCCACGCCCAGCGCCGTGGCCCCTTGGTTGCAGCTGTGGTTGGGCTGCGCTCCGCTCTCCAGCAAGAGGCGGGCAATCCTCCTGTGGCCCTGCCAGGCAGCCAAGTGCAGGGCCGAGCGGTGCTCCTTATCCAGGGCATCCACATCAGCCCCGTAGCTCAGCAGCAGCCGAGTGGCCTCCACCTGCCCCTGCCAGCACGTGACGTGCAATGCAGTGCGGCCCTGGGCATCGCTCCCCTCCACGCTGGCCCCGTTCTCCAGTAACAGTTCAGCCATCTCCACACCCCCCTCCAGCATCAGAAGGTAGAGCATGGGGCGGCCCTCAGAGTCAAACAAGTTGACATCCGCCCCCTTGCGCAGAAGCAGCTCGGCAGTGCTGCGGTGCCCACCCAGCATAGCCAGAGACAGGGCAGAGAGCCCGTCGTACCCCTGGTGGTCGATAGGGGAGCAGTGTTCAAGCAAGAGCTGCACGACCTCCACGTGTCCTTCCTGGGCTGCCAGCATCAGCGGGACTCGGCCATCCTGGTTGGGCTCACTTACGTGGGCTCCGGCCTCCAAGAGGGCTGCACAAGTCCCCTGGTGGCCCTGCCAGGCAGCCAAGTGCAACGGGGTCCATCCCATCCCATCCCGGTGATTTTCACTGAAGCCCCGCTTTAGCAGAGCCCGGACAACGGCTTCGCTGCCCTGCCCAGCGGCAATGCCCAGAGCAGTCCGGCCCTCGCTGTCCAGTGTGTCGGCGGCTGCACCCCAAAGCAGCAAAGTCTCTACGACCGCCCTATGACCCATGGAAGCAGCAGCCAAGAGCGGGGTACAGCCCCTGGAGTCTGCCTCATCCACTTCGGCCCCGGCCTCCAGCAACAGTTCGACGACATCCGTGTGGCCTTCGTAGGCAGCCACCAGCAAGGGAGTCGCGTTGTCCCGGTCGGCGTGTCCCGGAGAAGCACCGTAATCTAAGAGAAGCTCTACCACCTTGGCATAGCCGCGGCTCGCTGGAATGCACAAAGCAGCCACAGAAAGGGCGGTACGTCCATCCACATCAGCGTGGTCGACGTGAGCCCCGTGGGCCAGCAGCAGAGCCACGATCCCTCCGTGTCCCATGTAGGCAGCAGCAATGAGGGGCGTGCGCCCCTCAGAGTCAGCCAGATTGACCTCTGCCCCGTGCTCCAACAGTGTGGCCACAATGTCCTGGTGGCCGCCCCAGGCTGCTGCCCTCAGCGCCGTTCTCCCCTCGGTATCAGCGCAGTCCACGCTGGCCCCAGCTTGCAGCAGCACGTCAACGGCCTCGCTGTGACCACCCCAGGCCGCTGCCCGCAGAGCCGTCCAACCTTTGTGATCCGAGCAATCGACACTGGCCCCGTGGGCCAGCAGGCAGAGGAGGACCTTGGTGTGTCCTTGGCGAGCGGCCAAGGTCATGGGGGTCTGTCCATGTTGATCAGGGGCCTCTGGCTGCGCACCGCGAGTCAAGAGCAACCCCACCACTTCATGGTTGCCACTGTGGGCAGCACTGGCCAGCAAAGTGCGCCCGCTCCCGTCCCGCTGGTTAACGCTGGCGCCGTTTTCCAGCAACAGCCGCACAGAGTCCTCCCGCTCCAAGACGTGCCGCAGGGAGGGCGCTGGCCCCTGGCCCCCCAGGCGAGCGCCGGCCAGCACCAAGAGCTCCAGCACGGCTGGCTCCAAGGGCGGCAGCAGCAGCAGCAGCTCCGACTGCAGGCAGCGCTCCACGGGCACCCCGCACCACACCAGCCACAGGGCCAACTGCCAGCCTGCAAGGCCCAGCTCCGCAGCCAGCAAGTGACGGGCCAGCTCGACCACCTCCTCTGGGCTCAGTTCTGGTGCCCGGCAGGAGGCGCTCATGGCAAGCAGGGCATGCCCACGGGCTGGGCAGCAGAGGTACTTCTGCGTGCAGTGCTTGATGTCACAAAGCCACTCGGCAAAGCTGGCGTGGAAGAAAACGCAGGTGTCCTCTGGGCCCTTTTGAAGGAGCCCTGCCAAGGCTGCTAGACGGTCCTCAAAGCCCTCCCAGGGCACCGGACAGCACGTCCAGATGGCGGCGTGAAGCTCCCAAGGCCGCAGCGGGCGCGGGGCTGCCAGCAGGGCCTCTAGCAGAGGGCGGACCAGGGCAAACTGGTTGTGGGGGAAGAGGTGCTGGCAGAGCCAAAGATACAGTCCGCAGAGCGTCCCTGGGATGTGGCGGACCTCACGCAGGGGGACCAGCTCTGCCGCCACTCCGTCTAGCACCCGCTCCAGGTACAGCAGGCACCCGCTGCTCTTGACGGGCAGCTGGCTCAGGGCTCCAGTCACGTCCTGGGTGAAGCGCCGCCGGAGCGTCTCCTCCCGATCTAGCCGGGTGAGGATGTATTGCTGCACGTCGCAGACGACGGGTTCCCTCTGGAGGTCATCGAGGCACAGCTGTCGGAATCCTGCACAGGAAGAGGCCGAAGGTGAGAATGGCCCGACCAGCGGTGGCAAAGGAGGAGGGCAACATGCCCTGGCAGTGAAGGGCGCTCAGCATCCAAATGCCAACCGTCCCCACCTCAAACAGGAAGCAAAATGCCTTTGTCACCTATCCTCGAGGGGGAGATGGCTTGTCCCTGTACCGCAGGCAACCAGCTTCCCAAACGCGCCAGGGGTCAGCATCTGGGCACAGAGGCCTCCCCGTTCACTCTTCTGGTCCCCTCTGCCCCCCCACCCAAAGCGCTGGACCGTCCAAGGCCCCCCTCCACAGAAAGCTCTGCTCAGAACCCGCTCCAGGACAGCTGCAGCACACAGCTGGCGGCTGCCAGAGCCTCAAGCCTTGCCCCTCCCGCCCCAGGGCCCTCCTCACCAGGAAAGAGGCGCAGCACCCCCTTGCTGTGAGAGCGGGCGCTGCAGACCAGGAGCAGCCAGGGGGGCAGCAGCCGCAGGTGGCTTCCCAGAAGTTGGGCAATGGACTGGCTGGGCCCCGGGGTGAGGCCCCTCTCCTCCTCCTGCTGGTCCTCCTCCACACAGTCTCTCTTGCCTGCATCCAGGGCATCCACCACCATCAGCAGAGGCTTTACGGGGGGTGGCAGGTCCAGCAAGGGCAGCAGCACTGCTCTGGGGGGAGAAGGGGGAAAGCTGATGGTCTCCCACAGACCCTTGCAGCATGCATGGGGGGGGCAGGCAGTAGCATCACCAAGTGCCCAGGGCAGGGGAGCCCAGAGGGCTCTGCAGCTGGAGCCAGTCTGGCCAGGCGCGACCTGCACCCGGCCACCAGCCTCGGGCCTCGTAGGTTCCTTTCTGTCTTCCCTTCTATAGCCTATTTTTGATGAAAGGAAATGGCATTCGGACACAGCGCACGATGAGAGGAAGCCTGGAACCAGCCAGTGAATTTAAACGCAGCTAAAGGCAAACAGAGCAACTGCATAAGAGTCGAAATGCCCATCGCTTAATGCAACACACCAGACGTGCCTCAGCCTCCTTTCTGAGAAAGCCCAGCCAACAGAACTGTAGAACTTGGGAGCCAGAGTGGGGCCCGGACGCAGGCCCCGTTGGGCAGGCCAGTTCTGCAGACCCGCACGTCCACACAGCTTCCTTAAAGGGACAGGCCGCTTTAGCCGCTGGGGCCAAAGATGGCAACTTAGGCCGAGCCTGGCTCTTCCAGCACGACCGAAGGCCCTTGCTCTGGCCCGTGGTCCACAGCCCCCTTTTCACCGAGAGACGCTTCCATCGTGCTGGGCAGAGCGCGTGGCAGAGGCAGAGCCAAGCAGGAAGGCAGCCCTGGCCCAGGAATGCTGGCGACGCAGGAAACGCTCCTGCATCATCTGTGCTCCTCCAGGAAATCCAGCACCGACCTTGATCAGGCAGCTCTCGAAGCATGCGGGGGGGGGGGGGGGGGCTTTTGAGCCTGTCCCACACTGGTGGCGTTTCTGTTACTGGGGATGGCTAGTGGCACTCCCTGGCCAGGATGAACTCCACTCCCTGCAACTGCCCCCCCACGGCAGCCATCCCTACAACTTCCAGGGCGTGTAGGGCAACGGAGGAAAGCGTCTGGAATCCCAAGTGGCCAACAAAAAGTTTTGATGGCCAGATGTGGCCAGGGCTGCCCTCCCTGCTCTACAAAACATCCCACTGGACCAACTTCTACCATCTGTCTCTTGGCTGGGGTGGGGAACGCCTGGCCTCTGCCCCCTATGCAGCCTGGAGAGGACAGCCAGGACCAGCTGGGGGGGGGGGTGTGCCTGGACCTCCTGTCCTCAGGCGGTGTGGCTGCCCATCTCCTCTGGGGATGGCAGCCTGCCTAGCAGGAGCTACCAGACAGTCCGTGGGCTCTGAGGCTGGCACAGGTGGCAAGCTCGTTCTCGGGCAGGGGGCAGACAAGGGGAGCTGGGGTGTTTCTTACCTCCGGAAGACCTCGTCCGGGTCCTTGCACGTGGCCGGCTCCAGGGCCTGGGGGGCCCTGACCCGACGGAGGTGCTCACCGTAGCCGGGCAGCAGAGGGCAGCGCTCGATCTGCCCCACCAGCCGGAGCAGGAAGCCGTGGGGAGTGCAAGTGGTGGCATCGTGCGCCTGGCAGAAGTGCCAAGCCAGGGCACAGTCGCCCAGCGCCACCCGAAGGCCCGGCTCAGAGGTGGGCCACAGGGCTTCGGTGCACAGCGCCGTCTTGCCGCTGCCGGGGCCCCCGGTGACCAGCACGCCGCCACCGCCCTCCAGGCTGAGGGCCAGCCGGCCCAGCGCCCACTCCCGGCAGTAGAAGGGCTTGCCCCGCAGGAGGCTCCCGGCAGGCTCCATGCTGGGCTGGGCGCATGGCGGGCTCCGGGCGGCGGTCCGATCCGGTCGGTCCCCGGGCAGCGCGAGGCCTGCGGGGGAGAGGCGAGAGCGCGTGAGAGCCTCACCTGCGGCAGGGGGCTGTCCGCGACCCCCG